CCCCCCTGCCCTCTCCTCACGGCTCGTGCTGCCCAAAGGGGGCACGTGCATCCAGAAGCGATGCTGTGGAGAAGAGCCCTCTGCCTGCCCCAGCACGGGGCATGCAGCCTCTCTGGGTCTCGCCCACCATCTCTCTGACAATCTCTCCTGCCCCTCTGGGCACAATAAAGCTTTTCTGCATGCAAGTCCTGTCTCCCTCCCTCCTTCTGCCACGTTGGAAAGACCCCGGTGGTGGGGTCCCATCAGGTGTGGGAGGGCAAATTCCTGAGATTGCCAGGGTGGGTGCGAGTGGGCCGTTTTGGGAGAGGGAGGGTACAGGCAGCAGAGAGAGAGGCTTTTGGTGGGTCTTGCAGGAGCAGTGCTGGCAGTACTTCCTTACCTGGCCTCCTCTGCCCAGGAGCAGCACCAGTTCCCATTGCTCTTTTGATTCTGGGCCATACCTTGTATTGGGGAACCCCTTCCCTTACCTGTACAACTCCAGGGCCCCTCTTGGCTATGGGATTTCAGCCTTCTCTATGCGCAGCAGTGGGTACTGCAGCCCACACTCAGATCAGTACAGCTGGTTCCTCTGTGGCAGCTGGGGGCCATGCTAAAGGTAGCAGGAGCATCCCTGGTTCATCTCATGAAAGCATTAATCTCCTTTTTTTTTTTTTTGGATTAGCAATCTACATTTTTCCTGTCTTGGTTCTCATTTTATGCTGGTTGAGGATGTTTGTCATTTTTTTAAATGTGAATTTAAAAGAAATTCACATTTAAGAAATGTGGGGATCTTAAACTCTGTCAACAAAGAAGAGGTTTGTGTTGTTTTCCTCTAACTTCCGCTTGTATTAAAGTTCTGCTGTATAATACAAACAGAATTCTAGGGGGGGGTGGGGGTGGTGTCACACCGCTTTAAGTGTGGTTTTGCTAACAGCCTTACAAATTGTCAAGTTCAGCCATTGGTATCAGGTTTCCATCCTCATCCCCAGCAGACAAAAGCAGTTCATAACCCTGCAGAAATCCCATTCCTACCTTTCCTGGAGCTTCCCCTCGTCCCTTTGCCTACTGTTGGTTTATGGTAACAAGAACTGAAAGCAAATCTGTGCTTGCAATGTGTTTCAACATAACGGCAGGGATACAGAAAACTATTTTCGAGCCATTTTTCGATCACTTTGCACTAACAAAAAACATGCAGAGGACCTATCGAATAAAGTACTGTAAAAAAAAAAAAAGAAAGAACAAAAACAAACAGACACATTTAAGAACTGCATAAAGGGATGAAAACAAGTTCATTTTTTTGTAACGACTGCTGAGGGACTCCAGGCCCTTCTCCCCTGCACAAGAGCGGATATTGCTCCTGGAGGAGGCTGAAGAACAAATGAAAACCCAAGAGGTTCTTGTGCAACACCACGGGATTTTAATGAGAGAAGCAGAGCACCCACTTACAGAAAAACAAGGCAATGCAAGGGGAAACGCGTGGGGTGGGTATCCCGCTCTGGCACCCGTGCCCTGCTCAGGGGACAGCCCAGGGGATGGAGGGACGCAGGGGATCCCGAGGCTCAGCCTTGCAGCCAGGGCACGTGGTGGCAGAGGGCAGGGGGTGCTGGGCACACACAGCCTCCTCCTGCACCCGTGCCAGGGCAGCTGGGGCATGCTGCTGGTCCCCATGGCTCTTGCTCCATGTCCTCGGGCCACGGTCCTTGCTTCAGGGCTGTTGCTGGTTCTGGGCACCATCTTGGGGGGGTTTAGAAAGCCCCACAGCTCCCGCGGCGGGACCTGCCCCACCTCTGGGCACCAGGGAGGTAATACCCCGTGCCACAGGAGGAGAAGCCAGAGCTGTAGGACCTCCCACAATTGCCAAAGCTGCTGGACCCATAGCCCAGGGAGCCCCCGTAGCCCGTGTCATCTCCATAACCAAGGGAACGACCATACCCAAGGGAGCCCCCATAACCCCCACAGCCTCCCAAACCAAAGGAGCTCCCATAGCCCTGGGAGCCCCCAGAGCCAGAGAAACCCCCCAAGCCCAGGGAGCTCCCATAACCCCCCAAACCAAAGGAGCTCCCATAGCCCCGGGAGCCCCCAGAGCCAGAGAAACCCCCCAACCCCCCCAAACCCAAGGAGCTCCCATAACCACGGGAGACCCCATAGCCAGAGGAACCCCTCAAGCCCAGGGAGCTACCATAACCCCCCAGACCAAAGGAGCCCCCATAACTCCGGGAGACCCCATAGCCAGAGGAACCCCCCAGACCAAAGGAGCCCCCAGAGCCCTGGGAGCTTTGCAAACTGAAGGAACTCCCCAACCACGCCGGGCCTGACGATCCCACAACGCTCTCCTGAGGAAAAGAGCTGAGGATAGGGCCCGGGAATGTCACCACAACTGGTGGGGGGACAATCACTGCTCTGGAGTCGGGGCATTGCTGCACACAGGGCTCATTGCAGCTCTCGGCAATCGGCTGAGGGCAGGTCACCTCGCAGGGTCTGCAGGACTCACTGTAGCAAGACATCCTTCTTGTGGTGGCTGCGAGTCTGCAAAGCACAGCAGTAAGTGGGTTTTAGGTAAATGAACAAGCACCAGAGCTGGGCTGGGAGGAGAGGAACCAAGATTATTAAGCAATGACTCCGTGTCTGAAGTTAACAGGAAAACAGATAAATTTATACACACTATCACATAAAATTCCTGTATCAATTCAACTTCTATCCTTTCTTTCATCTCATCATGATCATCTTTGTAAATAATTTGATGTGAAACAGAAATTCAGTACTGGCTGAATGAGACAGACAGACCTGTCAGTAGCAACTTGGTCTGTTGAGGACACACTCACAACACGTGAGAACCAGTGAAAAAAAAAAAATCTAACAGGAACTGAAGAAAATGCTCATTGACTATAGGTATTAATTCAGACTTCTTGAGGTGTAAGTCACCCAAAGTATTTCTATAGCTTGGAGATCTACTTCCTATCCTAATGCAGTGACTTCTGATGCTCCATCTGGACAAAGACACATTTTCCGAAGGAAACAAAGAGTGTAAGTGTAAACACATATGCAGGAATCATCTCTTTGACAAGAGCATTGTTAAAGTAAATGCTAATGGTAGCAAAAAGAATGAGTGAAACCACACTTACCTTGTTCACTGCGGAGACTGAGACAAGAGAAGTGGATAGAAAGGCTGCGGGTGATACAAGCTTTTATATGCTCCTTTCAGCCACCCTTTGTGCCTCTGGTCATAATTTGTTACAAAACAAACAGGATAGTGGGAGCTTTAATTTTGCCACCTCAGCACTGTCCCTCCCAAATGTTGGTGTGGGTGTGATACAACTGCTGCTGGCAATCAGTTACCTGTGAGTGTCATTTTAGGGGATTTGGGAACCTGCAGCTGAAGGGTTGCCATACAGTCATCGACCAAAAGCCAGAACAAGAGTCTTGCATCACATTAGTCCCATTTTAATGACCAAAGTAGTGCACACATAGTGTGAAGCCCTTTTTGGTGCCATGGGCACAAACCAGGTGAAGGTCATCCAACATGAGTTAGAAGTTTGGCTCAAAGAGGACATGAGTTCTCCCTGCATTTGGCTAGGGACCTATAAATGTTGTTATACAGCAGAGCAAAGAGCTGACATGCTGCAGGCTCACTTCTGATGAGACATCACTATTGCTAATAACAGCATGAAAGCAGTAAACCCTGGCCAAGTTTTTAGCTTGTGCTCTAAGCTTTTCATTTTACCTACAGTTGACCCAGGCAGGATGATCAGTGTCTGATTTGCTGCACCTGTCAAATGATAGAAGGAGATGATACAGTCCCATCACCACCAGAAATGTGAACTACAACCCAAGTGGAGCAAGCATCAGTGTATCGAAACCTCTCCCAACATCCTCCTCTCAAGTCTTCTAAGACCATTCACATGACACCAGGTTAACAGAGGAATGGTTGGGCTGAGTGACACCTCCAAAGAGGCAGAAAAGGACTTATTGATATAACCACAACTGTTGCCAGGGTCTCTGTCTAAATCTAATACCAAACATTTCAAAATTTCATTTGAAATCTTTACTTCTGGAAGTTCAGACAAAAATACACTCAAAACCAATCCTATTTTTCTTCCTTCCCCCCACCCCTGAAGTACTGACTGCTTAAGAAAAGTGGGAAATTAATAAAATAGTATTTAAAGGATATATTTTAATGAGATAAATCTGCGGCATCATACAGTTATTTGCAAATCTGTTGTTTTCTAATTTTACAATATTGCAAAATGTAGGCTATAAATCACCTCTAAATTGTAAGGTAGTTGTGCTTTTGAAGTGTCATCAGGATTTGCTGATAATAATGAGGAGCACCTGGAAGATAATGACTTTAAGCTGCTTCACAAATACTCGTTAATACTTAGTGCTTGCAATTTCTGTTATTATCATATTAAACCAAGAAGGGCAGGATTTAGAAGCTCCCTTGTTATGAAACAGCATCATTTAAAAATATGCTAACCAACGTCACTCCTTTTGATTCCCTAAACAGGCTGTGATTTAGAACGACAATGCTTGCAACGATTTGATTTTCATTCCTGATATCAAGTTCTTTATTTATTAAGTATTAATATGTTTAGGGAGACTATGATACATCCATGCTACAGACTATAGTTAAGAACTTCATCTCCCTTCATGAGCCAGTATTTGCTAATATGCCTGAAATGTCTATTGCCTTAAATTCTAGGGGGGAGGGAAAGAACCCCATTAAAAATTATCCGAATTTTCAGGCTTAACTAGCTGTCTCTCTATGTTGTGAAAAACCAAGGGTCTCAAACTGATGTCCTAAAATCTCTACTCTAGGCTTTCCAGATCACTTGCTCTCACCTCTAAATGACTCCGTCTCTTATGCATGAAACTGTACCTGATGACACGGAGCACTTAATTCACACATCCCTGAATTGATGCTCTTGCACAAGATTTGCGTGCTGATAGTTGGGTGTTTATGTACAACAATGGTACAACACACCAAATATGAATTTTTAATGGGTGTTTGTAAAGCCTCTTATCATTCCTAGGAGGATCTGAAACATCTCTGAAGTGTTACTTCCTCAATGACATTTCAAAAGACAGCAGTAAAAATAACAATGGAATCCACCTTATAATTCATGAGTAATTAATAATATTTGATCTGCAAGTACAGATGTTAACCCCCCCGTGTTTCTAAACAAGATGCACATACCTGAAATTCTCCCTCTTTCTATGACCTTTCTCCCTTCTCTTATCCATCTTGCACATATTTTCGTAGAATCATAGAATGGTTTAGGTTGGAAGCGACCTTGAAGACCATCTTGTTCCAATCCACCTGCCATAGGCAGGGACACCTCCCACTAGACCAAGTTGCTCAAAGCCCTGTCCAACCTGGCCTTGAACACCTCCAGGGAGGTGTTTTCATAGTATTTGCTTAAATGGCACTATTCTTAAAAGACTCACTCATCTACCCTAAAAATCAAACTTCCCGTCTTGAAACCTAAAGTCCAATTAAATAGCAGACGCCCCAATGCTGATGATGGGTAATAGATGTCAGAAGAATCTTGTCATTCACCGGACCAATGCCCACAAGTTGGTACTGACATTGTATCACGCCTGGTTTGGAAGGCGG